TATATGAGGCGATTACTTTATAATTAAATTCAAAATATTATAGATTACATTCTATAAACTCTCTCAATTATTGATTTTATTAACAAATCAATTCTGTATTAATTAATTATAAAATTTCTCTAATATTGGAAAATAAAAGTCTGAAAATAATTAAATATTTAGTGAAAAAATATACTCGAAGTAATAAAGTTATATTGCGATTTTTCAAAAGAAAAAGAGGGTTTTTAGCAATTTTTTGAAAGAAATATTATTTAAGTTTTTGGTTGTTTTCATTTTACTACCACATAATTCCTTCATAACAAGATTGGGGCCTCCTAAACTGAACAGAAATATGGCTAAATTATTAATCGTTTTTTCAGCAACTCATCCACAAATATACTTTTCAAAAAAATTAAAAATTTTGTTATTTACAAATAGAACCATCAAGACGTTTAAATATTCAGCAAATTTATTCCTAAACATCCTTTTGCCACCAAATTGCTTTTAAGTATTTAATAAAAAGAATATATCATTATTTTGATCTTCGGGTGGAGATTTATTTAAGAAGAATGGACCTAGAGTTCCTTTTGACTGTAATCTGAAGAGCAAAGGGAATCTATTTGAAAAAAGTTGCGGTTCTTTTTTATTTGATCGTCGGAATACCATCACATGTAATGGTTGCTTTGTCAGAATTTGAATAGTTTCCAATCTAAATTTCTAAAACATTGTTGATTGATTATTGAAACTTAGCTAGAGTTAAGAAATATGCCTACTCTCAGATTATATCAAATGCAATTTTTTAAATCTACCCTATTCATTTTAAACCCTAGAGTGAGGTTATCATAATTAAGTTATTTAAAATCTCTCTTGGTACACATGCTCTATCTAAATTAAACAAAATTATACAATTTAATTCTATTAAACACGACATTAGAACAGAGGTATAACAATAACTTGATTTTTTCAAAAAGATTGAAACTATGCTTATCATTAATATAATTTTCAAAAAATTGATTTAATTTTGAGTTATTTATTAATTTTGAATTGATTTTTAAATTATACTTCAAAGTGTTAGTTTTATATAATAAAATAAGAATTCTTGGAAAGTGAATAAAAATTTTAAATGGAAAAAAAATTTTATATGAAAAAGAAGAGAAAATAGAATAAAATAAAATAGAATATATTAATTTCTTTATTGAAAATGAATAATCATAAACGCTTAAACAAGATGTATTAAAATGTTAAATTTTTGTATGATTACTATTCTGACATTTCATAAAAAAATTTATTACTAATCAAACACTCAAGTAACTATTAAGAATTCAATCAACTTCAAAAATATTTTTAAAAAATAAATAAATTCTATTTCAATTAAAACTTTTATATTAACATTAATATAAAGATAAAATATTGTAAGAAAATTTTGGGTTAAAATTATAAAGCTAAAACATCTATTTATGAAGACTTCCTTAATGAACTAATTAATTAGTAATAAGAAAAGCATAATTCTGATTTATATATATCTTTTTGAATAAGTTGTATTGATTACGTTTATGATAGGATACATAATAAATAAATCAACATAATCGAATTAATGCTTATAATCAAAATTGATTTATTTTAGTAAAGCCTCAGATAATTTTTGATTGGCTATTCTATTTAATATAACATTTAGATCCTTAAAAGATAATAAACAAAATTTTTTGAAAAATAAATTCTGATTTTTGCAACGAATTTACATAACAAACATCATTTTTCGTTTATAAAGGAAGTTAATAACTTTAAGTTGATTTCTTATCTCAACTAAAAATATTCTTATACCATATATATTCTTTGAATCACCCTTATTTTACGCTTAGATTCTTATTTTCATTTATCTTGTATTACTCCTAATGATAAGATATTGAAAATATCAAAAATCATAAAAAGTAAGGATAAATGAATAAACTAATCACAAATATAGATATATTTCATTTTTTAACACAAAGCTTTGCTAAAAAGTGAAATATATATATTGATGAATTAAGTTAAAAAATCTATAAATTAAATTAATTATTGAAAAACAAAATTTGGAAAATAAAAATGAGAAATAATAGAGAAACAGAATTCAATAATGATAATGCCCTGGGGCATTTTTAAAAAAGCTAAGTAAAGTTATTAAATCAAGGAATTGCAGGAGTTGAAAATTAATTATAGAATTGAAGAAGCATTAAGCGAAATTAATAATGCTTTGAATCTCAATCCTGAATTTTTATACGCCTATACTTTAAGAAGTTCATATTTTTGGTTAAAAATTTAGGTGAATTATATGAGAAATTAAAATTATATGATAAGGCATTGGAAGATGCAAATTATAGCTTATCTCTAAATAATAATAATGCTGAAGGTTTCTATCAGAGAGGTAAATTTCAAATCCTAAAATTTAAGCAACAATTTATTGGAGAAAAAAGTTATATGAACAAGCTTTATAGGATTGTCGAAAATGTCTATAAATAAATTCAAATTTTGCAATGGCCTTTTGTCGAATGGGTAGGGAAAAACAAGAATTTTAGGCACTATTATGGGTGATTTGAAATATAAGGATGAAGAACTCTATTTTTACAATTAAGCATTAGAAAAAGATTGTAATTGTTATTATGCAGCTATGTGTAGAGGTAAGTTAAACTAGTAAAATAAGGTTTGTATTTTATACAGGAACAACAAATTGATTATGCATTTAGAGATTTCAAATATGCAATTGAAATTAATCCAAAATATAGTTTGATCTATTTTAATAGAGGTTTTAATACTACCCTCAACATATTAGGTGTTTTATATAATGCTATTGGAGAGATATCCAACGCATTAACCGATTATAATCAAGCAATAAAACTTGATCCTAACGATGCTGTTGTCTTTTTTTATAGAGGTGAATAATATTAATACATTAGGCAATTTACACTTTGATATTGGTGAGAAAGACAAAGCACTCATTGATTATAATCAAGCAATCCAACTTGATTCAACAAATACAAAAGCTTTCTATAATAGAGGTAAAGATGAATACGTTTAATATATTAGGCATTTTATATAGTGAGATAGGTGAGAAAGACAAAGCATTAAATGATTTTAACCAAGCAATATCACTTGATCCAAGCCATGCACAAGTTTACAATAATAGAGGTGATAACTATGCACTTAAGATATTAGGTGTTTTATATAATGAGATTGGTTAGAAAGAAAAAGCATTAATTGATTATAATTTAGCAATACAATTTGATCCAAAATATTCAAATGCGTACTATAATAGAGGTGAATAGCTATTATACTGAAATTATTAGGGGTTTTATTTAAATAGATTGATGAGAAAGAAAAAGCATTAATTGATTTAAATTAGGCAACCTAACTTGATCCAAATGATGCAGAAGTTTACAAAATTAGAGGTAATATCTTTGTGCATCATATATTAGGTGTTTTATATTATGAGAAGGGTGAGAAAGGCAAAGCATTTAATGACTATAATCAAGCAATCTAACTTGATCCAAAATCAGCAGAAACCTACTATAACAGAGGTATTACTTTTCTGCTTCACATACTAGGCAATCTATATAATGAGATTGGTGAAAAAGACAAGGCATTAGTTGATTATAATCAAGCAATCTAAATTGATCCAAAAGATGCAAAAACCTATAATAATAGAGGTGAATACTGTTATACTTAATAGATTAGGCAATTTATATTGTGATATTGGTGAGAAAGGCAAAGCATTAATTGATTATAATTAAGCAATCCAACTTGATCCAAAATCTGCAGAAACTTTATTTAATAGAGGTAAATACTAGTCCACTTAACCTCCTAGGCAATCTATATAAAGAGATTGGTGAGAAAGACAAAGCACTAGTTGATTATAATCAAGCAATCTAAATTGATCCAAAAGATGCAAAAACCTACCATAATAGAGGTGAAGAATATTTCTTTAATAATAGGCAATTTATACTATGATATTGGTGAGAAAGAAAAAGCATTAGTTGATTATAATAAAGCAATCCAACTTGATCCAAAAAATGCGGTAGCCTATAATAATAGAGGTTAATCCTATTACACTAAATATATTAGGCCTTCTCTATAAAAAAATTGGGGAGAAAGAAAAAGCATTACTTGATTATAACTCAGCAATCCAACTTGATCCAAATGATGCAGAAATCTACAATAATAGAGGTAAGTACTATTTTTTTTCACTAAATATTTAGGCTCTTTATACTATGATATTGGCGAGAAAGAAAAAGCATTAATTGATTATAATCAAGCAATTCAAATTGATCCAAAATATGTTATTGCCTACAAAAACAGAGGTGAATAATTTTGCACTTAAAATATAGCCATATTATTTTACAACATTGGTGAGAAGGAAAAAGCTTCAATTGATTATAAATCAGTAATCAGACTAGATCCAAATTATGGAATTTCTCTAAACATGATTATTGAATTTCTATGATTCAAGTATAAATATAAGAAAAAAATTAGGTTTTTCCTCATCATAAACTTTATTATATCTTTAATAAGTATTTATGTGTTATTTTAACAAAAATGATAACTTAATCTGATATAGTACTTTTTCAAATTTGATTATAAACAACTAAAGTTCTTTAAATTATATAAGTAAATTGCATTAATAATTATAACGGATTGAATGAGTAAGGTAAAACACCAAGAGTACGATTCGACTTCTTTATTAATAAATTTTATAAAAATAAATCATTTCTATCTTTATTTATCCAAACTACATCAGTACTTTGAATAATATTCTTTTGATATATTCATTACATTTGAATAATCATATGGCTTATATCATAATGCACAGTTATTTTTTCCAGTCAAAAAATGTTTTGGCGATTTTAAATTTGTTTCTTTTTTATCAAAAAAGTCAATTTGAGGTGAAATGAATGGATTTGGTGGACAAACTTCATTTAATAGATGCTCTTAGGAATAAAATAAAATAAAATTCTCTATTTTAATACAATTTGACTTCTTCAAATAAAATGGACATTGTTGAAAACTCAAGGTTAAAAAGCTGAAATTATAAAAATTATAATTACGGCCCAAAATCAAAACACCAAAATTACAAAATAAAAATTCTAACCAAATGTAATTGAAATTTAAAATTTGATTTTATCAAAATTTCCCAAAACTGAATAGAGATTAAGATTTTCAAATTAGTTCTCAATCAAATCATATGTGTCAATTTGAAAATGTATCTGAATTCATACTTGAGAAATAGTGAAATATAATTTGCTAATAGTGAGAGAAATTAAAAAATCTTTGAAATTTAAATTGTTGCTCATGTTATTTATTTGAATGCAAAGTTTTCAAACGTTATGATCATCATAAATCATTTTTATCCACAAAAATGGACTCTTTAAAATTCTTTAACTTTTGTAAGGTCCTTAAATCAATTTAAATCTTCAAAAAAATACTGAAGGAAAATAATTAAAATCTTATTAACGTTAGATTAATAGAAGCAATAATATATGGTGGTTTTAAGAGAAAAATACCTCTATGTAAACTTATAATATTGAGGAAAAATTGGATCAACTTGTCTCTAAATCCCAATCAACTAAATATCATATCGCAATGGCATCGTGTGCTGATAAGCTAGAAAGAAAAGTGTGCTAAGACTTCGAACTTTAAGAATCATCTTCATATCCTTATTAACAAGAGCTAGTCATTCAAAACCATGACTCTAATCCTAATTAAGTTGGGATAGGTCTTTCAATGGTGGATTAAAGTGCACCTAAAGGTTGCAAAGGATGTTAAAAAATAAAGCGAAATTTTAATATTTAAGGATAGCAGTTAGCAAATCTGGCATTGTTGTAAGAATCAATTCGATTAGATTTTTTTTTTTAATATTATTTCGAAATTATTAATGGGAAATTTGAAAAACTCATCAAAGTTTAAATAGTATTTCTCCTAATTTTTAGATAATGAACGCGAAATTTAGAGTTTATTCCTCTAAATAGAGAAATAGGAGGAGCTTTGTGCAAAATCCAGAATTTTTAGCTTGACTAATGTTCCCATGCTTTATGAATATGTGCATAGAATACTTGAAGAATTTATTGAAGCGTCGAACTTTTCTATCAATTGGTTTAAGATTCAATAACGAGTTTAACTCTGATGTATTCGTTGAGCTATCTCTAAAGTTTTCCCTATTAGAGAACACAGCACGCAAATTTTAACTTCTTAAATTTGAGTTTTTCATTATTTTGAAAAAATATCAATTCTTATTAAACAATTAAACTGCATCAAGTGATTGTTATAAAAATTGATAACTCAATGGATGAAATAATGAGAGAATCTTTTAGAGTATAATGTCAAATAAATAAATTCCATATTTGAATAAAATATTTTATACTCTATTCCTATGATTTTTTAATTAGATTTGAAGTACTGTAATTGCTCTCTATCAAGAAAATAGATTTAATTACGAACTTCTTACTAATATACGATTGCTTAATGTGATTTTACTTATTATTGGAAAATCAATATTCAGTTTATTTTGTAATGACCACCTTGTTGATATTTAATACGCTTATAAAATCAACTTCGATTATTAAAATTTTGAGATCAAAGGTTTTAAACTTCAATATAGGATAGTGAGGGCATTTAATAATTTAGTGCTTTTATGAATGAAATATAAAAGTAATCGATTAAGATTTAGTTATTTTAATTTCTTTTTTTGAGTTCAGTAATAAATTCAAATTGCAAATAATTTTGCTGGAAGATATTTAAATTTTTGACGTATATACTGAAAATAAAAAATGGATTAACTCATTTATTCATAAATTTATAAAGTTTAGCTTTTTCAGAATTACTTTTTAAGAAGATTTATTTCTTCCAGAAAGGAGTGTGTAAATCAAATCAATTTTTTGTCATTTTAAGTTTAATATATAACTATATAACACCATCATGACCTTATATATGTAAATTGTACATTATTGAGGATTATAAAGTAAGGAATTAGAATAATATAATCTTAAAAATAATATATAAATAAAAGATAAAAGTGAAAAAGCAATATAATTTAATTAGATATTTTTATTAATTTTAAATTTTATTCTTTATGATTCAAGAAGTTGATGTTTCGCCAAGGCCCTTTTGTAATTACACTATGTATATTTTATATAAAATAATGAAATTGTCGAAATTTTGTAAATATTAAATAATAACTTTTCTTTCTATATATGTATTTATCTAAATCTTATATTTATACGAGCAATATGATCCTAATATTTAATTTGTATTCACGTTTGAATAAATAGTTAAATTAAATATACTTAATGAATGAGCTAAGTTTATTTATTTCATAAATATATTTTTATTTTGGTCTTTTAATTAGCTTTCTAAACAGTTAGATGAGTTCAACCTAATCGATATGGAAATATTTATCCATTTTTATTATCAAGATATTTTATTTGCCGTGGATTACAAGTTGTGACATAAACATCAAAGTTCAGCAAAACGCTCTGATTTTACCAAAATCTAACAAAAACATTAATAAAAAATAAAAAGTTATTCTTTAATAATAATTCTTCATATCAAATTATGTTAATCATTCAACTTGTAAGGACAGCCTCTTTAAATGGTGAAGATTTCCAAGGTTTGGAGCAATCAAGCACAAAATGGGCATATCATCATTCCAAATTCAAATGATGTACTATTAACCATAAAATCTATCTCCAATGTGTGTTGTCGAACTATTTTTATTGTTAAGTACCTAAACTCGTCACCATATACAATTAATACCTAAGTATCTATATAATCCAAGGTACATTGAATCAATTTATAATCCCATTCCGTTATATTCAGTACTACTTCCCTTATCTTCTAAGAAGCAATTATTCCACATCCTGCGAGTAATGGATTCGATTAATTGAATAACATCATAATCTTCTTTAATTGTCTTCCATTTAGCCTCTTCTTTTTACTCTTAAGTGTCAGTAATAATCTACTATTTGGTATATTCTAAGGCATTGTCACATTAGTAATTTCTCTATTCATTCCTCCTTTATTTAAACCACCTTTCTCTCTTTAATAAAGAAATAATTGGCAGCAACACTTCTTGCTTTAAGAAATCCATCATCAACGACTATAAAGGATACATATACTCATCATGCATCAATTCTCTCTTCCACTCCTCATCCTTTTTGATCACCCGTGGCTTCTTATTGGAAACTCATCACAACTATGAATTACTATATCCCAATATTCTCCAATCAATTTCATCAAGACCAATTATTCTCACATTTTGAAATCTGATTCTGATGATTTATCAAGTCTTTATTATAAAAAAAGAAATTAAAAATATTTCCATTAACTCCATTTTCCTACATCTACCTTTAGATTGTTTTATTATTGGGGCTCCAATGAACTTAAGTTCATCCCACCTTTAATTATCATCCAATAATTCGACATTCTTTAGAGTATTCCCTCTGAATCGTTTCTACTTATGCTTTCCCTGGTAGATTCTCAAGAATAGCATTCTCAGCTTTCTTTTCCAAGTGACATCTCGTCTAGTGCTCTCCAACCTTCGGAATTATCCTTCTTGAGGCGGTGATTACCTCTATTTATCCTAAGAAAGATGACATCCCAAGTTTTTCTGATATCTATCTTTTGCCCAGATATTTATTTTTTTATTTTAACTTCCATTTAATAATTAATTGAATAATTCTAACATTTTATTTGTGATAAGTGTCAACTAAATTTAACTCACCGCTTAAAGTCTGTTTTTGAGATTTATTAATATGCAAATTTGTCTTGATTGGCTTCGCTGTTTTTTCAAAGCATTACTTTGTTAATTGAATATGAATTTTGACTGCAGGTAAAGACTGTTTCTAATCCATCTTCATATTAGTAGTTGAATTGGAATACATTAATACAGTAGCTGTCAACAAATTGTAATTACGTCTCTTCTCACTACTCATCTGAAGGTTGTTAGTAATGCAACTAAGAAAAAAGCAATTGAGCCTTTTGAATGAAAAGAAAGTTTCGAGGAAACTAGCCACCCAAATATTGTCAAACTGCATTAAGTATTTGAAATAACTAATTGAAAAATTAAAAAAAAAAGATACACTTCAAGTTCAAAGGGAGGAAGTCCCTATTAGGCTTTAAACAAATCAACATCCACCTAATAGGCCAACTTTGAAGACTCCT